TTTTTGTGAGCTATTGAAGCTATAGATATCTTCAATGATTCAATACCACTGGTCAAGAAAATAAAAGCAAAGATAAACAAATTGGACTATATCAAACAAAAAAGCTACTGTACCACAAAGAAAAAAAATGATTAGAATAAAAAGACCCCCCACAAACTGGGAGAGAATATTTGCCCACAACTTATCTGACAAAGGATTAATATCCAAGAGAATATAAAGGTCTGGTACAAGAAAAAAAATAACCCCATTAAAAAAAATGGGGGAAAGAGATGAAGAGAAACTTTCTCAAAGAAGACATATCGATGACCAAATAGTACATGAAAAAAATGCTCTGAATCACTTACCATTAGGGAAATGCAAATCAAAGCAACAATAAGATATCATCTCATACCAGTTAAGACTTAAATGCATCACAAAAACAAAACAACCAGTGTTGGCATGGATGTGGGATAAAGGAGACCCTCATTTATAGTTAGTGGGAATGTCACCTGATGTAGACTTTTTGGGAAAAAAAAAAACACTTCTCAAAAAAAAACCCTAGAAAGTGAGCTTTCATATAACCCAACAATTCTTCTTGGCATCAACCTCAGAGGTCACAAAACTTTTCAGAAAAGACACCAGCACTTCTATGTTCATTGCAGCACTATTCACAATAGCCCAAATCTGGAAACAACCCAAGTGTCCAAGAACAGATGATCGGATAAGGAAACTGGGGTAGATATACACACTGGAATACTACTCAGCTATAAGATAAGATGAAATCATGCAATTTGCTGCTATGTGTATGGATGTGGAGAGTATCATATTGAAGTTAGTCAGAAGGAGAGGGACAGATGCATTTGTGGGGTATAAGGAAACAGTAGGAGAATAACAAACGCACAAAGATAACAGAAACTGAGACCTGGTCTTCAGTAGGAAGCTGATCAAAACGGGGGATGGCGAGGGGGACAGTAGTAGAGGAAGTAGATTGTGGAGGCTGTGGGATTGGAATGTTTTATGGATGAAAACATTCCAATAATAGTTTTGTAAACCACACAGTGCCTAAATAAACTTTTTGTGACTTTTTTTTTTTTTTTGGTGCATGTGTGTGGGATCATATCTGGCAATGCTCAGAGGTTGCTCCTGTCTCTATTCTCAGGAATCACTTCTGGCAGTGCTCGGAGGAACCATACGGGATGCTGGGGATTGAATGTGGGTCGGTCGAAATACAAGGCAAACATCCTACCACTGTACTATCGCTCTGGTCCCCTAAAATAAAAATTTTTAAAAACACATACCTGAGATATTTCATTCCTTACCACTTTTCCCTTAGAGATTTTTGTTTAAATAAGAACTATATAATCTTATAATTTCATAATCTACTTAGGAATACATGTTAAATTTTTTTATTTATGTTGTATGTATCTCTTGGGCTGGAGTGATAGCAAGGCAGTAGGGCGTTTGCCTTGCGCGCAGCCAACATGGCCGACCTGAGTTCGATTCCTCCACCCCTCTCGGAGAGCCCAACAAGCTACCGAGAGTATCTCGCCCACACGGCAGAGCCTGGCAAGCTCCCCGTGACGTATTGGATATGCCAAACACAGTAACAACAAAGTCTCCAATGGAGACGTTACTGGGCCCGCTTGAGCAAATCGATGAACAACGGGAGGACTATGACTGTGTGACCGTGTGTTGTATGTATCTCTTAGTTTTATGTCAAGATTTTTAATTTGAGCTCAACCCTGTTTAATATTAGCAAACAAAACCTCTGCTTCCTGTTGTCACTGTTTGCATTAGTCTCCTATGTATATATAATTCACTTTTAATATTTCTGAGTCACAATGCTTTAGATTTGTCATCTGCAAACCTACGGCTTTGTTTTTAAATAAAAATCCAGATTTTTTTCCTTTTAAAACATGAATTTTGTCCAATTACATTTATTATTAATGACAGGTTTGTCTGAGGCTGCCTCTGCCATATTATTTTCTGTTTCCTGATTCAGTGCTTCCTTGGTGTATCTTTTCTCTCCTATCTGTTGCTCTTAGATGTTTTATCCGAAAAAAAAAAAAATACCTTCAGCAATTTGGAAGGGATCTATAGTCTGCTTTCTGTGTAAAAAGCTTTAACTTTAAATAACACACTTAGACTTTTTTTTTTAAACACTGCTTGGCTGACTACTCTGATTAGAGTTACCATTCGCTTGCCAAAACTCCTCCTCACTTATGCCAGGCTGAGCTATTCCTCCTCAGCCCCAGACGAAATGGCTCTGGCTGCCCTTGTTTGTGGCTGTTTAAAAACAAAACTCGTTAACATATTGTCAAATCATCCTTCTCTGAAGCCTCCAGAGATTGAGTTCTAGCTGCCAATGGTAAAACAGTGTGCAGTCTGCAAGTGATGGCTCCAGGCCTGCTCTAGAACAGGGAAAGAGGGAGGCAGGCCCGCGGTTTTGAAGTGACACCTCCCCAAGGCCTGTCTTCTCAGGAGAGTGGATCGGAGATTCTCCTCAAATTTCCCTCTCTCAGAACAAAAGGGAATTATCCTGACAACAGAGGCAGGATGGGGGGGTGGGGGATGGGAGGGATACTGGGATCAGTGGTGGTGGAGAATGGGCACTGGTGGAGGGATGGGTACTTGATCATTGTATATCTGAAACCCAAGCACAAAAATTTGTAAGTCTACAACTGTACCTCATGGTGTTTCACTAATAAATATATAAAAAAAAATTTTTCCCTCTCTCCAGCCCCATGCTTCCAGGCACTCCTGGGGAGCTGCTCATCCACCTGCTTTCCCAATAATATTCGGTGTGTTCTCTCCCTAGGCCAGTCAAATTTCTGTTTCTTTCATCTTCATTTCCCCTCTCCCTGCTTATCTGCCCCTCCCAGAACCCTCTTCTGGGCTGTTCCATCTCCTTCAGAAAGGATCCGAGTCAGGGGCTTGGGAGTCAGATGGGCATCCCGAGAAAGCCTCATTGCCTGGGCTGGCCTCCATAAACCTCTCTGTCTTCTGCAGGTCGCTCCATGGGGTACCTCCAGAGTCTCTGGTTCATGCTGACTGCCAATCACCTGAGCATCTACTCCATTTTTGTTCCCCTCCACCCCTCTCTCACCTGATCCCCAGCTCACTCAAACCTGCTACATCTAGTTAGTATAGATCAATTCACCCAATAAATATGACATTTGTGTTGAGATTTAAAGGGAATATTGAGGGGCTGGAGTGATAGTACAGCGGGTAGGGTGTTTGCCTTGCATATGGCCGATCCGGGTTCGATTCCCAGCATCCCAAAAGCTTCCCCGAGCACTGCCAGGAGTAATTCCTGAGTGCAGAACCAGGAGTAACCCATGTGCCTCGCTGGGTGTGACCCAAAAAGCAAAATAATAATAATAAAATAAGTGACTCCCTTCCCTGACCCTGACCCTTACTCAGGATGGAATGCCCACCTGGCCTGATGATGAGGTGCATCACCCCTGTCCTTTCAGAGAGCTCCCCAACTTTCAACATTTAGTAACTTTTTTTTTTGCTTTTTGGGTCACACCTGGCAATGCACAGGAGTTACTCCTGGCTCTGCGCTCAGGAATTACCCCTGGCGGTGCTCAGGGAACCATATGGGATGCTGGGAATCGAACCCGGGTCGACCACGTGCAAAACAAATGCCCTATCCGCTGTGCTATTGCTCCATAAAGGGATTATTGAGAAAAATTGATTGAACCATAAAGAAAGCCTAAGGCTTTAAGTCTAATAAGAGAGTCCAATCCTAACTGTTGGGAGTGCCTGAGACTGAGACTGGGCTTCTTCTTCCTGTGGATCACAAAGAGCCTAAAACAAATAGAGCCACAGAACAAACGGGAGGTCAAGACAGAGGATCATGGAATCCAATGGCCAGGTGTAAATGCCACATCTGTGTGTGTGAGCAGGTGTGGGAACCTTAGGTACCTGGCTTCATGTGTCCACAAAGGGTTACAGTGGGATTAAGTGTGAACATGGACCCATATCCTCCGCTGTGTCGACTCACTTACTGGTCCTGCTTCACCAAATCCAGATTAAATCTCCCAGGAGATGCAAGCCAAGTGGCTAAACCTTATGGAATTGCTGCCCGGCACTGAAAACACAGAGCGCCCATGGACGGCAGGTGGAACAAATACCCACCAAGTCAAGGCTTTGGCCCAGCACCCACTCCTCGCCACTACAGCTACACCAAGGGCACAACTCCACCACCTCAAAAATATTCTTTGCAGAGAGACACCAATTTCTGAATAATTTCAGGTACCCCGGCGCCTGGATTGAGAACTTTTTTTTTTTTTTTTTCAGAATCTCTCCCTGCTCTTCCCCCTTACTTCTGGAAGCCCCAGCAGCCCCACACACCATCTATGTCTGCTGTCTGTCAACTCTTTGGGCCAGACCAGAGATCTGGAAGTGTCAACAAAATGCTTAACAAATTCTTAGACAAGGACGTCCCAACCCTGTAACCAGATAAAACGATGTTCACATACCTGTGTTTTCTAGAGCTATTGATTTTTAATACTACAACTTGGTTACCTAATCAAATTTAATCCTAGAATTGTATCAACAGTTGCCACTTTTCTCAACATTCAATTAAAATAAAAAGTGACAGATGTGCGAACAGCAGAGTTTGACCTCTAGCCCTGCCGGGACTCAGGGGAGCAACAGTTGCAAACTCGGGCACCTGGGGTAGCCTCTGTTTGGAGACCGTGTAGAGGTAGGTGTGTGCGCAGAGGTTGAGTGTGGGACTTGTCATCTCTGCCAGCTGGGATCGGGGGTGATGGATTCCCTTTAGTATAACAAGGAGGGCTGGACAGGGAGCCTGGGCAGATCCTTCCTGCACTCACCTCTGCCCGTGCCCTGGGTGCTAAGAGTCTCACCCTGGGTTCTGGAGGAGTGCCCGTTCAGCAGAGGCTCTGCCCTAGTTTCTGAGCAGGCTCTCCCGCTGGAGACCTCTCCTCCTTTCCTGCCCTCCCCTCCTTCCCCCTCCCTCCCCGCCCAGCCCTGCATCCCCAGGAGGGTACCAGCGCGCCACTGCTGAGCAGGATCATGAAGATGATGAATGTCTCGAACCAGCTGTGCTCCACGATGCGGTAGCAGGTCTTGCGCATGCGCCACCAGACCTTCCCTGGGGACTGGGTGATGTCCACGGCACAGCAGGGACAACGCCGGACACAGCCTAGGGGGCAGGACAAAGGGTCAGGCCTGGTCCAAGGTCTGTGAATGCTCATCCATGGACGCATTCAGATGGCTGAAGGTCGTGTGTAGGTGGTGGGTGGAACTGTGGCGGGGTGGACGGGGGAGAATTGTGTGTGCAACCCCACTTAGCAGATTCTCCAGAGAGCGGCCACGTGCACATCCAGTGAAGCAAAGAAGGGCCTGCAGGTCCGGCCAGGGCTAAGGCTGGCGCTGGGAAGGCTCTGGCTTGTCTTTGTAAACTTTAGTTTGAGGGAATGTTCCAGAACCTCCTGTAGAGCTGTCTAAAGTTTCTTGAGAGGAGGGTGGGTGGACCCCAGAGCAGCAACTCCAAGCTGACAGTACCATGGGGAGGGGAGGGCCAATTCCCTTCCCTCTCGAGCTGCTCTACAAATGTACCGCCAACTTCTGGAAGCCTGGAGTGTTTCCCAAGGGTCCACTAGGTTGGAGGCCAGGGGATGGGGGCAGTGAGGGCTGGCCCCTGCTTCTGGGGAGCAGACCATGGAGTGCCCTTCAAGTACAAGTGTCATCTGGACTGCGGGCAACCAAGCCTCAGGTTACAGGCAGAGGGCAGAGCCTTGGGATAGAGGCAGGGCGGAGGGTCCAGGCCTCCAGGTGAGGGTGGGGTTGTGACATGACTCCAGGGCCATCCCCAGGGTACCTTCCGTGAAGCAGTCCTCGGGGTCCTTCACATCCTCGCCCAGGTCGGGGATCTGCTCTAGCAGGTCGGCGGTGTTGGTCATGTCCGCGGTGCTGCCCTCAGAGAAACTGTCCTCGTGCGTCTGTGGGAAGAGTGTGTGGGGAGAGGAGCCGTGAGTGTGGGCCACGGGGGCCCTCCAGCCTCCACACAGAGTTGTGGGGGCAGTGAAGGGTCATGACTGAGCGTCCTCCACTGCACCCCAGGTGGTGAGAGCCTGTGGGTGGGGGCCCCAGGGGTGGGGTGATGGGTACTGCTGCCATGAGCCCATTTTGTTTTGTTTTTGATTTTTTTTTTTTTTTTGCTTTTTGGGTCACACCCGGCGATGCTCAGGGGTTACTCCTGGCTCTGCACTCAGGAATTACTCCTGGTGGTACTCGGGGGACCTATGGGATGCTGGAATCAAACCTGGGTCGGTCGCGTGCAGGGCAAACACCCTACCCGCTGTGCTATTGCTCCAGCCCCTGCCGTGAGCCCCTGGGTCTGTAGTTCCAGTCTAGTGAAATCTTGGGGGCTGGGGGCGGGGATGCTGCTGTGGGAAGGGGGAACCACCTCCCCTGGGAACAAAGCAGACGCGGCCACAAGGACGCACACCAGTTCAGGGACATGCAGACAGACGGGGACAGTCGGGACAGTCGGAACCAAAGAGGCACACAGAGGCACAGGCCACACATGCAGAGAGCCGGCCAGCAAGTCGGCCCCCTCTTCTGGCTCAGATCAGATGGACGCTGGTGTGAGACGCAGGAAGCCTGGTGCACGAGACAGAGTGCTGGAAGCTTCTCCATCCGACCCATGCAGGGGTTCTCCTCACCTGACTCGGTCACAGAGAGCAGCCTGTTGCAGTGTGCCCCTGGTGGGTATGCTGCTCTGGGTGCCAGGGAGTAAGAGGCCTTCCTCTGGGTGACACCAGCACCCCCCCCACACACACACCAGGGAGCTGCTGTCCCCGGGAAGATCTCTCCATGTCCACTCAACCAGGCTAGGGCGGCTGCCACCCAGTGTACTGACATGGGACCCCTCCATGCTTCCGAGCTGAGGGCAGACCCTGGCTGGGTGGCGGGGTGTTGGGGGTGGGGGGCAGCATGCCCTGCTCACTCTGCTCTGTTCACTCTCTGGGAACCCGCCATCCACAGAGCCTTGGGGAACTCCCCCCACCACAGTGGGCTCTGAAAGGGTGTTGGGGTCTCAGCAGCTAGCCTGAGACTCTGACCAAATCCCCTGCCCCTGAAAGCAAGAGCTGGCCCTGTTTATAAAGACCCAGGGGGCCTGCTCCAGCACTCCCCACATGCAGGCACTCTGGTTGAGAATGAGGAACATGACTGTGCCTACCTACCCATATTGATAACTTGGTCCTGAGAGCAGGATAAGTAAATCATTGACTGACATCTGTACGAGCCCTACTAGGGAACTGTGCTATACATAGGATTACCGGCCCCCCTCAGTGTGGGATTGCCCCCCCCACCCCCACCCCAGAGTGTGTGTATAAGAACCACTGGGTTCTTATAAACGGAGAACTGCTTGACCACCAGACTCCCCCCCCTCGAATCCAGGAATCCCACTGTGTGCGGAGGGCCAGGGCAGAGGCTTCTCCCCAAACTACTCCGTCCCCTTTAGGGAGTAAGTCTGGCGACTTCAGGGTTCATACTCCAGTTTGCCGGGGTCGACTGGCCTGGACCCCGACAGGAGGGGAAATGGAGCAGGGGCCTTGCAGCGTCAGGCCCTGCTGACCCCTCTGGTTCAGTGGGCCCGGGAGTGCTGCTGGCTTCTTCTGGGCAGCTGCTGTGAGCCGCTAAGCTCGGCTGCCCAGGTGCCTCCCTCCACCTGCTCCTCCTCCTCACACCATCTCTCCAGGGCTTCGGGGCAGAGGATGGACCCTTGCTCCCTCCTGGGTTCACATGAGGCTGGTGGGGGGGGGGGTCCTAGGAGCTGCTTTGCCTTTGTGGGGGCTGCTTTTGACTCACTGAGAAGAGAGAGGAACAACTGCTTACCCCCATGGCTGCCTTTCCCATACTGGAGTTGCTGCCCAGTGGGAGGACCCTAGTCAGGGTCCCACTGCAGGTAAAGTGAGGGGGTCCTCCTTCCAGGAAAGCCCTGGGCCCCTGCATTCCTGGGACCGGTGCCACCGTGCACCCATGCCTAGGAAGAGCCGGGGTTCCTTCACTGTCCCTTTGGAGGGCAAGGCTCCTTCCCAGGCCCTCCTCTTGTGGCTTCTTCCCTGCCCTGAGTCACTTGTCAGACCATCGGGGCAGTGAGACCCACCCTGCCAGGACTAGGGAATCCCTGCCCCCTGTGCCCAGCTGATCACACCCCAAACCATCCTGCAGTCCCATCTGGGGAAGGGCATGAGGTGACAGAGAATGGTCCCTAAGGAGGGCACCAGATCTCGAGGCTGTCCGGCGGCCCGGCCTCCACCAGGGCAGGGGGCAGCGTGAGGGGGGTGGGCACAGAGGTGGGAGGGCTTGGCTTGCAAACACGAGGCTGGCATCAGGCAGGCAGGGAGGGAGGGTCAGGGGCACCTCAGGAGCTCAGGCTGGTCACAGAGGTGGAGTCCACCGGCCTCCTTCGGAAGCCAGTGGGCGGGGCAGGCTGTTGACTTGCTCTTCACATAAGTGCTCCCGGGCTTTAGACGTCGGAGGCGAACTCTGACGAAAGCCTTTTTAAGACCCATGCTTTGAAGCAGCGGCCAGGGCCGGGGCCAACAACCTCTTCTCAGAGCTCCCAGAAGTTCCCCAGGATGGAGCCATTCACAAGACAGACATGGACCAAATGGAAAGGAAGCAAGTAGCCCAGTGAGCGGCGTGGACACGTGCTGGGGGGCCCCCCTTGGGCCCCGCCAGAAGCAGGCCTGGGGCTGGGTTTACCTCACTGCACCCTGAGGCCGGGGGCTCCGCCGCCCGCTGCTGCCAGTCTGCCGGAGCCACACAGGCTTCGGCCTCCGAGGTGGCCGTCTCGGACGCCTGGCTCCAGGCCCTGGGCTCCGGGAGGGCCTCGGGGCCGTCGGACACAGGCTGGGATTCCTGCTGAAGAGACCCCCCAAGCTCGTGAACAACCTGGCCATGGGCGCTCTATGTTCAGGCGCCACCGCCCAGGTTTCTGGGACACTGTCCCCCTGTCCCTGGCACTGAGCTGGACTCCCGGGAGGCCCCTCCTTCAGCCGCCCTGAGGCTAGGAAGTTCCTGGGAGGTCCAAGCAAAGGGTCTAGAGCCAGACAAAGGCCCCTGCCAGTTTGGCACCATCTTCTGCTTTCCCCAGTCCCCAGAGTGCAGCTGGCCACAATGCCCAGCTCCCAAATACTGACCACTCCACTTTGAGAGCTCCCATGGCACCCTAGATCTCTCTCTCTCTCTCTCTCTCTCTACACACACACACACACACACACACACACACACACACACACACAGGCATGCACCCACCACGGCCCCAGGGAGCCAGAACCAGCAGCCTCTGGAGAAAGACAAGGCAGGGTGGCTGGAATTCCATTTCCGACTGGGAGCATCCGGGAGCTAATTGGAAGCCGTGGTCCTGGCAACTGGGCTGCCCACGGCCCAGAGCTAACCTCGGGGAGCAGAAGATGGAGGAGACCGTGGAGAAAGCGGGCTGGGACTCTGAGCGCCGTGGCCAACCTTGCCCCATGCTGGCCCAGAGGAAGTGGCCAGGATGGTCCCCCTGCACGTGAGAAGACCCCAAAGACCCCAGTAGAAATCATCTGAACTGTCTTTGGCCGCAGGACATGGGCACTGGGGGATGCGTGGGGGAGTGGGGGATGGAGAGGGGTGCCGGGAGGTAGGTGGGGGGGGGGGGCTGTCTCCTTTGTCCAGACTGATCCCAAGTGTTAAAAATAACAGGTTGGGAGATAAGATAGCCCCGTCCTTGACACCTGCCATCTTAGGGCTGCTTATTTTTAAATCTCCAATCCAGCCCTGGTCTGGGAGGTGGGGGGAAGGCGCTGCTTTTCTGTTTCTCACTGTGACACGCCTCCATCCTCACCCAGACCTTCAGTTTCCTCAGGCAGGGTGGGGTCGAGACCCTGAGGTTCCAGCCCGGCCTCAAATCCAGAAGTACTGTAGTCAGGCCTCTACTTCCCTTTCTGCAGAGCTCAGGGCTAAATGGGCACATGAGGAGGGTCTCCCTACAGGCCCCCTGGTCTGGCTGCAGAAAGGGGGTGTGAGTGGATGTTGGGGCACCTGCCTTCTCCCTCCAAACCAGTGCGGTGGGGCAGGGGCAGTGGCTGGGATGGCTGAATTCCCTGAGAGTGGGGGGGAGGGGCGGGGGAGGCCCTGACCACCTGAGGCCGAGTGGGGCAGTCACCTGCTTGCTGGTCTCCTCCTCCGTGCCCAGGCTGTTCTCGTCGTCCTCCTCCTGGTCGTCTGTGTCCGACTCGGCCACAGCAATGGGCACACACACGGGCTCTGAGTCCCCCGGGGTGCCCTGACCGGGCCGCTTTCCTTCCTCGAAACGCGTCTCCTTGCGGGCTGGAGGGGGCTTCTCTGGCTCTGGGGGTGGGGGTGAGCCGGCGGCGGCCATGCAGCTGGGCAGCCGGCCGCGGGGGGCAAGGGCCGCGGGCTTGGGGGGCCTGCGATGGAGGAGCCGGCAGCAGAAGTCCCTGGTGGTCTGCTTGACAAATCGCAGGCCCCGCTGGATGCGGGCCAGGGCCAGCTGGAGGTTGTTCATCTCCCCGTCCTCATCGGGAGCCGTGAGGTTGTCTGCGCTGAACGAGCTGAGCAGCAAGGCCAGGAAGAGGTTCAGGACCTGCAGGGACACCAGCTCAGTCTCAGCAGGGCAGGGTGCGGGGATATCAGAGGCCCACCTGGGGGCCCCCAGTGCCATCACCAGCAAGTATCTCGAGGCATAAACCCAAGCCCTGAACCTTCATCCTGAACCCTGCCTCCGCCCCTCCCCCCCGCACACTCCCTTTTCTTGAATATGAACTTTGTCGACTGAAAAACAAATTCTAAGCTCTGCTTCCAGGAACTCTGAGACGGTCTGAGCTGAGGGTGTTACATGCAGCTCTCCTGCAGCTTAGCCAAGTTCAGGGAGAGAGGCAGGATCCCCTGGAAGCCAAACGCTCCCAGGTGGCGCCTTGCTGCCTTGCGGGGCAGGGGGCCTGGCAGGTGTGTGTGGCTGAGCACAGGGCAGCCCCTGGTTTGTGCCGGTTCCTGGGGGTACAAGACAGAGCTTTGACTCCAGCTCTTAGGGGCTCTCCTGGGACCCCAGCTCTGCTGGGGAAGGAGGCAGGTGACACCAGTTCTGACACCAGCTCCCAGGACTCAGGCTCTGACTCTGCTTTGCTGCCAAGAGACACGGGCACCTCAGCAAAGAAGGGGGGAATGGCAGGAGACGAGGCCAGCGGAGCGAGCACAGACAGCCTGCGAATGGACAGCAGGGTCATCGAGGATAGGGGACAGCCGGGTGACCCCGTGAGGGCACAGAAGGCCCAGACAAATGGCTGGAGAAGAGGGACTGGGGGGCACGGTTGGGGTACCAGGGCTGGCCCGTGATGCTGCAGGGACCAGGCCAGACCCAGATGGCACAGGTCTCGGGACTGCCTACAGCTATTGTCTGGAGGGTCAGGATGGAAACCCCACAAAGGCGGCTTTGCTCGGTCCCTTACAGGTGCTTCCCGTGAAGCCGTCCCGCACGAGTAAAGTTCCAGCTTCTGCACAGGAGAACTTGTGCTGAGTGATGAAGACAGCAGCAGGGACCCTGGCCCCATGGGAGGGGGTAAGGAGAGCCAGGACAGAGCCCCCATGGCCTAGGCTGCCTGTGTAAGCTCCCCCAGTCAACAGGCCAGACTTCTGACCTCACCAGTCCTGGGATGTGGGTCGCTCTCATTCAACACTCTCAGAATGGAATTGAGCTGGGTGGGGCCCTGATGGTTAGCTGGTGCCTGAAGGTGGGGGTGCATCTTTTATTGGAAATCCACTTGGAGCCCCTGTTTGGGCTTCTCACCATCCCAAGATTGAAGGCTGAGCAGGAGTTCCCCAGATGTGCGGGCCAGGTCAGGGAGGTGGAGGAGTAGGTGGTCTCCTGGACTCTCCTGTGAATGAGGGTCGCTGCCCGAGCCGGCCACCTTCTGTGGTCATCACTGGTGCGGGGGGTGGGGCACCCATGTGATGCTCAGCTGCTGTGCACGCAGACCTCTGACCTGGCCCTGCTCCCTGTCCACTTCTCTTCCTGGACGCCCACCCAAGATCCTCCCTGTCGCCCTCGCTCATGCCTGGCCCCACTGCCCCTGACCTGCAGGTATCTGGGGCCCAGCAGAGGGCAAGGAAGGAGGGCGCCTGGGAAGCCCTGCCCGCCCGCACGGGACCTCCCTCGGCACCTCGGCTTCAGAAATTTGGCTCCTTCCCCGTCAATCACGCGGCTGCTCAGCAGCTCCTGCCTGATCATCACTTCCCATTCTAATGGCAATCTTGTTCCACCCACACCCCGGCAGAGGCCCAACTCCTGTAGAGGCCAGGGAGGGGGGCCGTGTGGGCTGCCTTCGCCTTCCCTCCTCCAGCAGCCTCTAATCTTCTCATCCCCAGATAGATCCGCAGGGAAAACGGCAGGGCTGTATGCAGGAGGGCAGCTCAGCTGGCCCTGGGCTGAGAGAGGAGAGCGGGGAGCAGGGAGCTGGCATACCTGCTTCCTCCCTGCAGCACACAGGGGCCAGTGGCGATGGGCTCCATGGTGCTCAGCGGGACCACCCAGGCTTCTTCCCCTTATGCTCTGCTCATCCTACTTCTTTCCTCTTTCCCATCACCCATCCGTCAGATCAGCTCCAAACCCTCCTCCAGGAAGCCTTCCTCGACTTCTCCTTAATGAGCCTGACCACTCCCACCTGACTGAGCCTCATTTCAGGCCTCTATGAACTCCCCACCGTCCTGTTCTCTCAAGCTGGTGAGCAAAGTGAGGGTCACAGTCACTGCTGTCTGCCCAGCTACATCTGGTACAACATTTTTGTTTTGTTCTGTTATGCGGCCACATTGACCTGTGCTCAGGGCTTACTCCTGGTACTGTATTCGGGGATCACTCCTGGTGGTGCTGGGCAATCATATGCGGTACCAGAGATTGAGCCTGGGTTGGCTACATGCCAGGCAAGTACCCTACCCTTTGTACTATCTCACTATCTCTCTATGCCCTGACACAAGGTTTTACATGCAATAGAGAACCCAGAAGAACATGTGTGAAGCTGAATTGATAAAGACATGATAAAACACTGACAGTGAATGACTCACGAAATAATAGGTAAATGAATACATAGGCTGTGAATATAAAATGAGTGAATCGTGGGCAAACAGGCAAATGTATGCAGCAAATGGAAAATGATGTGACTGAATGGATGGGTCCATGAACAAGCAAAGTAATAAGTAAATTACTTTTCCATCCATTACTGGGAATGGAGGGAAGGGAATGATAGATGGAAGGGATGAATGGGTTGAAAGATGGATGTGGGGGTGGATGAAAGAGTGGCAGGGCAGATGGGTGGAATTATCAGTGAGAGATGAATGGATGAAAGGACAGATAAGACAGGCAAATGGATGGATGAAAAGCAGTGCCTGTGTATGAAAGAATGAGTTGACGTGTGGGTGGATGAACAGATGAATGGATGGGTGAATGAATAAATAGGCAAGTGAATTAGTAGATAGGGCTGATGGATGTCTGGGTGAGTAAGCAGACACATGGATAGAAGCTGGTAACTTTGTAGAGATGCTGATGCAGAGGTGGTCAGATGGGGCTTGGGAGAGTGTGGGTGTGGGAATGTGTGGAAGGCTTGAGGAGGTAGATTTATGCTTGAGTAGAGATATGGAAGAAAGGATCGGTAAGATGGTAAATCTTGATGATAAATGTCAGGTGGATGAGTAAGGATTGCAGAGGTAGGGGAATAAATGAATGGGTGAACAGAAAGTAAATGGATGAGCAAATGGATGGTGTATGGATGTTTGGCTGAGTTAATGGGTAGACAGATAAGTAAGTGGACAGATGAATAACTGGGTGGGTGAGTAACTGGGTGAATAAATTAGTGGGTAGGTGTATGTGTGTGCGCACACGAGCCTGTGAAGCTTAGGGCCAACTCACCACAAGGTTGCCGATGACCATAACCAGTAAGAAGACCAGCAGGCAGAGGGACTGCCCGGATACCTCCATGCAGTCCCACATGGTCTCTATCCACTCGCCACAGAGGATACGGAAGATGATGAGAAAAGCATGGAAGAAATCGATCATGTGCCACCGGGGCGGCAGGTCTGTGTTGCTGCTGATGCGGTAGCTCAGATCCGAGTAGTTCTTGCCAAAGAGCTGCATCCCCACCACAGCGAAGATGAACACGATGATGGCCAGCACCAGGGTCAGGTTCCCCAGAGCCCCCACTGAGTTCCCGATGATCTTGATGAGGGTGTTCAAGGTGGGCCAGGACTTGGCCAGCTTAAAGACCCGCAGCTGGGCAGGGAGGGAGAGGAAGGGTCTGTTGAAGGCTGTTGGTTGGCATTCATTGCCCAGATCCCCCTGCCCTTTCACATCCTCCCTCTGCACCCCAGCTCCCTGGATGAAGAGGGCACCAACACTGGTTTCCCCAAGAGAACACACCTGAGGGTAGCTTCGGGGGGTGACTCAGTTCTGTTCTCTGACCCTCCTTACCCTCTCTACTCTCACAGCCAGCCATGGCCCTGATGCACCACATTCTTTGCCAGGGCTTTCCTTCCCACTGATCCTTGGGGCCACCTCAAACTTGTCCCGGGCATCTTTCTCTCTGCTTGATCATCACAGAGAAAGGGAGCACTGCTACTTCACATGCATGGAGCACCTACTCTGTGAAGGCCTGATACTCAGGAGGGATTAACTTACTTAGAACACCCACACTGCACGTGGCTGCCACACTTACAAGCTTTTTTTTTTTTTTTTTTTTACACATGCAGAAAACCTGCCCTTTAAGGGACACTAACTTGCCAAAGGAGCCTTGGTTCAGGACTGCGGCTCAGGCTTGGAACCCACACCCCAGGTTTTCTCTGCTGCCTCCATGCTGGCCTGCAGCACATGGGTTCTGCCTTGCCTCTAGCATGCTGCCTGGAGCTCTCAGACATTCTGAATTTATTCATTTTTGTTTGTGGGGAAGGAAGGGTATACTTGGTGATGCTCAGGGCTTACTCCTGGCTCTGCATTCAGGAATCACTCCTGGTGGGCTCGGGGGACCATAGGTAGTGCTGGGGTTGGCCACATGCAAAGCAAGCATCCTACCCACTGGACTAGCTCTGGTCCTATCGGACTTTCTGAATTCAAAGCAGCTACACAGACCAGCCGCTGTGGCCTCACAGATACACCTGTACTTGAGCACTGATCCCTCCGCTATGTTTGTGGGTGCGCCCAAATGCCCTGGGGGAAACCAGCAGGCAAGGTCCCCCCCTTCCTGCCAGGAGGTGAGAGCAAGCCTGGTTTTAGGAAATGGTTTCTTCTGGGTCCTGGTCTCCTCCACTGGGAAGTGGATTAAGAGCAGGACCCACTCTGGGATCCTGTGAGCACTAACAGTCTCACCGTGAGCCCCAGGGTACTCTGCAGAGCATAGGACAGGTACCCCACTACTTCTTTGTGGGGTGGTAGGGGGTTGCCTCCTATCCTGCCATCCCCGTGCCCCTGACATCACCCTCTTCGCTGTTTCTGACTCCCAGGAGCACTCAGAAAAGGGCAGCGGGGTGAAGGTCTCATGGACCGGTGACTGAGGGGTGGCCTGAGCATATGCCCCAACCCCGCTGAGGGCCCCGCGGGTACCAGGCGGAAGGAGCGCAGAACCGACAGGTTGCCCATGCGGGACAAGCCCAGTTCCATGAGACTCAGCGTGACGATGATGCTGTCGAAGATGTTCCAGCCCTGCTGGAAGTAGTAGTAGGGGTCAAGGGCGATGATCTTGAAGGTCATCTCTGCTGTGAAGATGCCGGTGAAGACCTGGGAGGGAGCAGGGAGGAATGACTGACTGGTTCTGCAGAAGACCCTCTGGCCGTCAGGGACCCAGTGTCCTGCCTCCCTCTCTCCCAGGGTCTCCCTCCTGCCCTCCCAGCACCCAGACCTTGCTTGGCCATGAGCCTGTCCCTGGTGGGAGTCTCGGTCAGTTATCTCCTTCAGCCTGGCCCCAGCCTGGCCCATGATGGGCACTGTAGAACCACGGGGTCCAGGGGACACTGAGTGTGTGGGCTGCCCCAGGTGTGCTTGCACTCCACACTCACCACACACATGCACGCACAGCAGCCCACACTTGGGCATGCCTGGGCCTCTGCTGTGTCCGTCCTGCCCCTCCCCGGGACCAAGCTTTCCGCTGTGACCCTCACTGGCACCAACTCTGAAGGGCATGGTTGAGGACTGAGAGGGGGTCAGAGGCCTCACCGACCTTATTCCCCCATCCCATTGGGCAGGATACCGAGGCACCCAGAGACCCAGGTCTGGGGTCATGGAGGTGAAGTCAGAGCCACAAATTGAGGCTGGTGGCAGCCAACTGTCCCTTCTGGGAACCTTCCTAGGTGGGGACTTCATCTACATCATGGACTCAGAAAGACACCCAACTCAGACTGGCAGAGTCCCCGTGTCAAGGAGCCCTGGGTGCAGTGGGTCAGACAGCCAGGACCATAGCCAAACACCCTGTGGTGTGCCGAGTGCCAGGGTTCTGAGGACCAGAGCCCCATGCAGGCATGGGCAAGGGTGGGGCTTATCCTGAAAGCCAGGCTGAGGCCTGTGAACTCAGGTAAATAAGGTCTGAGTTGAGAGGGCAGTGAGCCCAGGGCAGTGCCAGGCCCGCAGCAGCTACAGGGTGTGGGTGAGCTGGGGAGGTCTGAGACAGGGGCACAGCTGAGGCATCAGCGGCAGGAGGAGCCATCTGGCCCCTCAGGGTGCTGGCAGGGGAGTACAGGTCTGCAGAGAACAGCGGCCTGACCCAGGTGCTAAGCAGTTTCCGCCACTTTGGGCCGGTTTCTTTCTGAGCCTTGAGTGTCCTCCTTGTAACCCCGGGCCCCCAATAATAACTACACAGGGTGTCTGGGAGTTGGCACTGAGGCACAAGGGGATGCTCTGAGTGAGAGGTGGTCCCCATCGCCCCAGCACTGATGGCACCATGAGAGGGGCTGAGGGCGCTGCTCTCGGCTGGCAGGCAGGGCTGCCTTCAGATATACATTGCATGGTTCAGAGTGTGGATCCCGCTCTCTGACCACTGGGGACCCCACTCTCTGGCCGCGGTAGACCCCGCTCTCTGGTCGCTGGGGACCCCACTCTCTGGCCGCTGGGGAACCCACTCTCTAGCCACTGGCTGGGGGTGCACAGAGCAGTCAGGACACGCGGGGATTTGGAAGAATCTTAACAATTTTTTTAAAAAACTAAAACCTATAGTTTAGGTAACATGGTTTCCAGAGTGTCAGCATTTATGGATTTGCTGCATGGGTGTCTGCACCTTTACCACCACCAATGTGCTGAAGACCCTCCTCTACTGTATGCCCACCTCTGCCTGCTGGCAAGTGTCTGTAGTGGTTTCATCCTGTACGTGCTATAAATTTGCTTTTACATTCATCCCCAGGGCTGGGGTTGTAGCCCAGCTGAGGGTATGTCTCCCACGTGAGGGGCCCTGGGTTTGAGCCCCTGCACCACCACCATCCACACCACAAAGCGAAAACACTCAGCCCCGAAAATCTTCCACACATCCTTCTGTGCTGATGAACTGTGACCTATGGTATCATTTTTCTCTTTCTAAGAAGTCCACTTCCTGTGATGGGCATTCTTTTGCCCACATTGAAACACTGCCATCAGAAATAATCTTTTCCAAACATGTTTTAGCTCCATGTCTCTGATTCTTACAATAAATTTCTGGAAATGGAATTGCAGAGCCAGTGAACATTTTTAGCGATTCTGAGAGATTGCCATAAGATCTTTTAAAAGCAGGTTACATTGTGCTTGAGTGACAGTACAGCAGATAGATCACTTGCCTTGCACGCAACCAACATGGGTTTGATCCCGGGTATCCCATATGGTCCCCAGAGCACCAACAGGAGTAATTCCTGAGTGTAGAGCCAGGATTAACACCTGTACATTGTCAGGTGTGACCCAAAAAAGCACCCCCCCAAAAATAAAGCAACCAGGTTTCACTGATCAGCTGCATACGACTGTGTCCTGATAATCAAGCCATTAGTGGTTCACCATTCCCACCAACTGTCCAATCCAGAACAAGGCCCCATTTCATTATTGTATTACTGGGTATTTATTTGATTTTTTAATTTCTTCCTTTGTAAAAATTTCCTGATAATATTCTTTGCTTATTTTTATCTTAAAATGTTTGTCCCATTTTTGTGTTATTCATAAATGCATTTCAAATCTTAGGGTATTACTACCTTCGGGGGGTCTGCCCTGTATCACTTAATCACTTAACTTCCCGTTAGTCGTTGATTTGCTCGAGCGGGCACCAGTAACGTCTCCATTTGTTCCTGTCGCGTGCTAGTGTAGCCCAATGGCATCTGTTCGCTCTGGGATCATGAAGAGCCTCAAACCGATCGTTCATGATCTTCACGAAGAAGTCTGACCATCTGGTAGGTGGGCGGCCACGTGGTCTTTTGACATCCCGTGGAATCCAGTCAGTAACAGCTCTAGTCCAGCGGTCGTCTTTAAATCTCATTACGTGACCAGCCCATCTGATTTTTGACACCTTGGCAAATGAGACAGCGTCCCTGATTCTTGATCGTCGACGGATGTCGGAACTCCGGATTTTTTCTCTCATTTGAGTGAAACGTGATATTCCAAGCATAGCTCTTTCTATTCTTCTTTGGGAGACCTGAATAGCATTCTCATCCTGTTTGCGTAGGGCCCAGGTCTCTGAGGCATATGTTAATGCAGCAAGAACAGTGGAATCAAAGAGATGTGCCCGGAGCCGGAGGTTCTTCGTCCTCTTAGCTATTTCTTCGACGTTCTTGAAGGCGTTCCAAGCCGCTCTCTTCCTCCTGCGCAGCTCGGGTGCCAGGTCATTTGTAATGTTGACTTCTCGACCTAGGTACACATAGCTGTTGCATTCGGAGATGGTCGTTCCTTTGAGAGCGAATGGGGCATCAGGAAAGAGGCTGTTTCTCATAAACATTGTCTTCGTAAGATTCAGCTGTAGTCCTACCTTTCCACACTCACGGTCAAAGTCGGCCAGCATTTGTGCCGCTTGGCTGATGTTTCGTGTTATTAAAACAATGTCATCAGCAAAGTGGAGGTGGTGTAATTGCCGACCATCTATCTTCACTCCATTCCTTCCCATTCCAGTCATCGCATGATGTTCTCGAGGGTGGTACTGAAGAGTTTTGGTGAAATGGTATCACCGTGCCGAACCCCTCTCCTGACATCAACGATCACTTCTTATACCCTGCCCTGTATATTGCAATCATTTTCCTAGTTTGTCATTTACCTTTGCCATTGTGTGTGATTTTAAAACCATAAGCGGTTTTTACCAATGTAGAAAAATCTAGATACTGTGTAGAATGTAGAATGTAGAAATACAATGTAGAAAAATCTAGCTACTCATGATAGTGAGTACCTCTGTAAGCACCACCAAACTTTGCTAAATATTAACATTTGTCATATTTCTTTCAGATCTTGTTTTATTGCCCCTTGTAAAATTATTGCAAAGACATAATTTTCTATATGTTTGACCCTTGACCAGTTTCTTTACACATATTTAATCATTTTCAAGCTCATTATTTATATGATGAGTTATGTATTGTTATCATCCTCACTTACAGATAGGAAAACTGAGGCAGAGAGGACAGCCACTGGCCCTCTGGAGAGATTGTCACTCTGAACCTCAGTACTTAGCTTCTCTCTCGAAGGCCTGACCATGTGCCACCGGTAGCAAAATCACCCAAATTTCTATATTCTCTCCAAGATAATCACTCTCTCAGATCTGAAGTCTATCATCTCTTATAAATATTTTTACAGTTTTATTTTTGGTTTTTGGGCCACACCTGGCTGTGCTAAGGGTTTCCTCCTGGTTCTATGCTCAGGAATCACTCCTGGCAGGATTCTGGCATCATACATGATGCCAGAGATTAAACCCGAGCTGGCCGCATGTAAGGCAAGTGTTCAATCTCCTGTATTTCTTCTCTGATACTGTTTTTACAGTTTTAACATAAATAATAATAATTTATCATATTTCACATTGTTGTAAGTTTTATATAAGTGAGTCATATTGCCTGTGTTCGTCTTTGCAATTTATGAGATTTATCCATATTGATAGATAGATGTAATTCACCGTGTAGTTTTGATTATGGGAAGACACCAACATATCACCTATCTATTTTTCAATGGACGGATGGATATTTTCATTAATTCCAACCTTCTCTGATTAACACGGCAGAGATCTTGAACCCAGCTTCCTGTGTGGACAAGTGAGACTTGCGTAAGAAAACATGAATCTCTGAAACTATCTTCTAGGGTATGTGTTCCTTGGGTTTATTGGGTACTGAACAATTGCTCCTGAAAGGGCTGTACCAAACCCACCATCTTATAAGTGTGAGTCATACTTTTCACATCCTTGCCAACATGCAAGGTTAGCTTTGAATATCTTATGGCTGACATAGCAAGTGAATGTTGCTTTAATTTGCACTCATCTGTGTTTCTTTTCATTTATCACCGCCTGAATTTCTCTTTTCTGATTTGCCTCTTACTCCCTTTGTCCGTTGTTGTCGTTGTGTTTTTGTCACTGAGCTGTTCCCCTTTCCTTCCTGAAGTAGAAGTGTCCAATATGTATCATGGAATTCTTATCTTTCTAGTTTATTACTTTTCATGACATCAGTTTCCAGTTTGCTTATAGTATTTATTATTGGAAAGATAACGGAAATTTATTTATTTATTTTTTGCTTTTTGGGTCATACCCAGCGATGCTCAGGGGTTACTCCTGGCTCATGCACTCAGAAATTACTCCTGGCGGTGCTTGGGGG